CAATTACGTCATAAATTACATATTCGAATTCTCAATAAAAATTTTATGTAAATATAATTTTGCTTGAGTACCATTGCTAATCACATCTAGATTGACGCTTGAGAACACCCTAAGATTGTATGATATAGAATAGATTGACTTTAATTATTATTATGGAAAGAAATAAAAAATAAATCGGAGCGTAATTTTTAGTATGGTCAGAACATACTTCCTTTTCACACTCAAGTTTTTATGTATAGAAATTTTTAAGAAATATTTTTTCATATAATAGAGTCGTATGAATTTAGCGAAGTGAATCAAAGGATTCAGCTTATTGTTTCACAATAATAAAATTCCTTTTACTAACCACACAATCGCGTTAAAATAAAAAATTGGGAGCCCAGCAGGCTCCTTCTTTATTTATAAAATAAAAATTATTATTGCCGAAATAACAATATACGAATAAAAAATAATAAGGATCGTAATAATTATCACTACATTCACCATCACCAATTGAATATCACATATAACTATCAAGAGAATGGTCAACCTTATCTCTATATCTTTAGTAATATGAAATTGGTTTATCAGAGGTATTGTCTTGCTTCAGGGGTAAGGTGGTTGGCAAGCTGGCGAGGCGAGCTTTTTTTTATCTCACCAAATAGTGGCGAGACTCTTGCCACTATTTGGCGAGCTAAAAAAAACTCACCTCGCCAGCTTTCTAACCACCCTATTCAGTGGGTTGTATGTGAATTGAATTCCTCTAAATATTTGTATTTTTGGATCTGTTGGATTGGTGGTCCAAAATGACCCATAATTCGAAATGTATAACTCATTTTTTGAAAATATGAGATCAGGGCCTTTGTAAAAAAAATTTGATGTTTGACGTACGTTTTTCAGTGATTTGATCAGATTCACTCGCGGGTTATTTTCCATATCAATCAATCTCCAGATGAAATTTTCCAGAATACACTCCAAGATCTCCATAGGAAATACACATCGCGCCAGGTTTGTACTCCAATAGATATCTGTATATCCCATTCGCTCGCTTTCGATTACGGTTGTGCCAAAGACCTCTCCTGCATCTATGACCTTTATTGTATCTAAGACCTCTCTTGCGTCTTTGTGGCGGCATTTAATTTGGGGTTACGGTCTCTCGCAGAGACATGGAAAAAGTGCGATTTTATTTATAGAAATTTCAAATCCTAAATCGCATTTTTTCTGTGTCCCTGGTCTCTCGTTGTTACAAACATGTTATTTATTCCCCAGTTCTTATTTATACTTCTATATTATTCCTTCTCGATTATTGTCCAGATTTCGGATTCGGCTGATCTGGAATTTTTATAATTCTTATAGATTATATATCTTTTTTTTACTTTTTTTAAAAATTTTTAACCTATTTTAAACTAGAGTTACAAAGAATAAAAGTTGCAGGTTAAAAAAAAAAAAAAAGAATGAGCGAAAGAGGTTTTGAGATCTGTAGTAAACTGACTTTATGAAATACGCAATTTTACTTTGAAGAAATAGTATAAAAGCTGGGTATAAATCAGCTATTGCCCACTTCGTGGACAATAAAATTATAGTATCACAAATGAAGTTGTACCCTGCCAGCATAAGCATGAGAAAAATTCATTTTGATTGGCTATATGACGATCATCTATCATCTAAATTGCTAACAATTTTACAAAAATTGTGACTTTCGTTCATACTGTAGATACATTCGTTGATGCACCAGATTTACTTAGTGTTAAGTTTTCAAGTATATTTTATTGTGTTTGAAAACTCGGGATCGAATGGGATCAAATGTTTTTTTTTTTACATTTTACCAATCGTTAATAGCATTAAATGCCAATAAAAAAGCATCGGGTGTCTCCATTTTCATTTCTTCCACTATATTGTCATCCTGTTCAGATTCTCCATCTTTTTCTTGCTCTTGTTCTTGGTTTTCTTCTTTGGTAAGTATATTAGGTCTTTTTTCTAATTGCTTTATAAAACTTTGAACATTATAATAAATGCCTTTTTAAACAGCTATGATAATAACTGTGTCCACAAACCAGGACTTTACTATTATTTAAAGATTCATGATAGTGATCACACATGTTGAGTTTAGGAGGAAAATTTGAACTATAGCCTGTAAATAGAGTTTTGTTGTAAGAATACTTTTTTTTTAAAAAAAAATAAAAAAAAGGTATAATTCAAATAAAATTAATTTATAAGCAAAAATTTTTATGATCTTATATGAAATTTTAAGTTGATTAATTCTACCCGTAGATAAGCACTTGGTATTAACAATTTTGTTTATTGCAGCCAAAAAGTATTTAAATTTATTTTTTGGTTGATTTTACTTTTTTTACAATCTTAGAAAATTTCTTTTAAATGATTAATCAGTTTTTTTAGTTAAGAAATTCAATTCTGATAGTGTATAAGGATATTGGTTTGTTTTAATAAAAGCATTCTGCAATTTCATTATCTTGCATATCTATATTGTAAATTTATTTAGTATTTTAAAATAATTAAATAATTAAAATGTATACCAATGACATAATATTTTCTGCTGTTAAATTTTTAGAAGTTTGTATACAAATTTTACTGTGAAACTTTTTGGTATTAAAATTTATTAAAAAAAGTTTAAATATTTTAAAAAATAGATAGTTAGAGAAGCACCATTTATTACATAATTTCTTTTTATTATAAGGTCATACCCCTCCTCAGCATAGTGGATATTTGATTTGATTGGTTAAAAAATGTAAACAAATAAACAATATACATAATGTAGATTATTATACAAATTTAGATATTTTATAATATACAATAATATTACATACACTATGCTAGTAGGTTATCAGGTTACTTTGTATATTGTTACCAGGAGTAACCTGCTCACATTATAGCCAGCAAGTGTAACATAACATGGTTGAGATGCAGAATAGTAATAAATTAGATCTGGCTTTAGCCAGTCGGTAATTTAGCCACATCATATGATAGTTAAAATAATTATGTAAGATAGTTGTCACTTAAAGATTTATAGCTTTTTTTTAGAATCTGAAAGATTTTTAATAGTAAATTATATAGTGAAAAACCCGGCCTGCTTTTTGAACTACCTAGGAAGCAGTTAACAAAAAATCTGAACATATTAAATACATAGTAAATAATCTGTAATTACTTTTTAGATACTTGGAGCTACAGAGGTGTGGCGACTTAGTGAAGTGGTCTAGTTGTCACCCTCACCAAATGTTATGGGAAGATCCCATGTTCAAATCC